GAAACAGCATTTAGCTGCACTCGGGAGGTTGTCTTAGGCTTTCGATAGCAGTGAGAGACAGTCCTGATGTTTGGCAGAATTAAGGCAAAGCCCTGCAGTCTGAAAACATTTCAATGTGGTAGCTTATAAAGCGTTCTCTTTTCTGACCTCACTGTGGGTGCAATGCAAGGTTTGGTTTACAAGTAGACAGCGTGTGTACGCGTCAGTAACAAGCCAGGAGTTGAGGAACATACAAACTAGGAGGAGTAGGCCATTCAGCTTCTGGATCCTGCTCAGTTACGTAAATAAGATCATGGAAAATCTTATTCTGACCTCAAATCCACATTCCTGCTTACTCCTGTCAAGCAAGAGGTGAAAGGTTACCAAAAATCTATCCAGCAGGGTAAACAGAAATTTGCTCCATCTCTGACAGAATTGAGCCGAGATTTACTAAAACGATCTCTGAAAACAATAATTTTTTTTTTGCGACTGGGCTGGCACATCGGTCTTGGTTTCTGTCAGTCTGTCTTAGTACATAGAACAAGATGTTCTATCAACAAAATCCAACTGATAATACAGCTCATTTCATCTCGCTGTTTCATATATTTTTATGAAATCTACAGAATGTCACAATTAAAGCTACAGCGATTGTGTAATCACTGCACTGCCGTTTTTCCCCTCAAAATTACAAACGTAGAAAAACCTGTTCTAAAAATCAAAGCAAAATTATGCATATAGATTCAAAATATTTATTCCAAATATTTCTTCATAACATTTCCAGTGTTACATCCCTTTGATATTTTCATTGATTCATTCTCAGAACATGGCAGCCACAGTCAAAGCTAGGCCATTATTTACTACTGTCCTCAACAAGGTGGTGGGATGCTACCAGCTTGAATTACAGCAGGTCCTGTTAGGGAGGGAGCTCTAGCATTTTGACCTATTGACATTAAAGCAATACTCACACAAACAGGAGATTTGGAGGTAATGATGTTGGTGTACATGCTGTCCCCGATTAGATGGTAGAAGTAACGCTTTTAGGGAGGTAGGATCAAAACAATTGTGGAAAGTTGCTACTATGTGCCATGCAACATATCGTGACATTTTGATTCCTTTAAGCGAGAAAACATATACTTGCCTTGGAAGCAGTCTAAAGGAGGTTCACTTGGTTGAGTGCTCAATGGAGTTTAGAAGAATGAGAGGAATCCTTATTGCAACACACAAGATAGGAATCAGCTTTAGAGACTGAGAGTGTTGTAGCAGGAAGGAGAGAGAGTGTAAAGTCCTCAGTTTTAAGGTTTGTAGTTTGTCAGGAACAGCACAAGAGAGCAAGAGTGTGAGAGAGGGGGAGAAAGAGAGAGAGATCTGATTTGGTGAGTAGTGGGCAAGATTGCATAACTTGTTCGTAATTTTTGTTTATAGTTAGCAAGGATCACAATGGCAGAGGAACTCGGAATGCTCCTCTTGCAACGTGAGAAAGACTTCAGGATGGCGAAATCCATGGTGACCACATATGCAGGAAATGTGTTCAGCTACAGCTCCTGATTGAGTGCATGGAGCAGCTGGAAATGCAGACGGACAAGCTATGGAGAATCTGTGATGCCGAGAACATGATGGGTAACACGTTTAGTGAGCTCAACAAAGGGCTACACAAGCGGAAAAGCATTGGGTGACTACCAGGAAGTCCAGCAAGTGTGGTCAGTTAGTGCAGGAATCCCCTGCAGCCGTCCCCCTCTCACAGTAAAAGCAGCAACAGCCAAGTTTCTGGCATCACCACTGGTTCTGCTGAACAGCCAGGGAGCAAAAAGAGTGGGAGTGCTTTAGTGACTGGGGACTCGATTGTAAGGGAAACTCACAGGTGGTTCTGTGGCTGCAAATGAAACTCTTAAATGGTGTGTTGCCTCCCTGATGCCAGGGTCAGGCATGTCTCAGAACCGTGGCAGGGCTTCTGAAGGGGAAGATAAACAGCCAGCAGTCGTGGTACATGTCAGTACCAATGACAAGGGTTTAAAAAAAAAGGTCCTGCAACAGGAGCTTAGACAGTTAGGCAGTAGATTAAAGAGGAAAACTACTAAGGTTGTAATCTCTGGATTACTTTCAGCTCCATGTGCCGAGTATAGGAAAAGGAAGATAGGTCAGGTGAACATGTGGCTAAGTAGACGATGTAGGAGGGAAAGGTTTAGATTTTTGTTTGAATGCAAGGAGCCTGACTGCTAAGGCAGATGAATTTACAGTGTTGATCAACATGTGAAAATATGATATCGTTGCAATCACCGAGACATAGCTGAAGGAAGGGTAGGACTGGCAACTCAACATTCCAGGATACAGAAGTTTCAGGTGCGATGGGGGAAGAAGAGGAATCTAAGAGAGGTGGGGGCATTATGGTACTGATAGAGGAAACCATTACAGTAATAATAAGGGATGATATCTCAGAAAGCTTTTCAAATGAGGCCATCTGGATGGAGCTTGGAAATACAAAAGGGGTGATCATATTGCTGGGATTTTAGTCCTCCAAACAGTCAGAGGGAGATAGAGGTATAAATCTATTGACAAAGCACAGAGAGGGATGCTATAAACAGGGTTATAATTGTGGGGGGTGGGGGGTTCAACTTTTCCAACATCAACTGGGTTTGCTTGAGTGTGAAAGGATTAGATGGGGTGGAATTTTTAAAGTGCACCTAGGAGAGCTTTTAGTGCCAGTACATAGATAGACCTGTTAGAGTGCTAGACCTAATCCTAAGTAATGAAGTTGGTCAGGTAAGTGAAATGTGAGTGGGTGAGCATTTTGGTATAGCGACCATAACTAAGTTTCAAAATATCATGGAAAGGATAAGCATTGTGAAGAAATTAAGTGTCTAAACTAGGAAAGGCTGATTCAATGTCATTAGACAGGATATGGAAAACACAGCTTGGAAGTAGCTACTCCCAGTCTAAGATAACAAGGTGTAGAGCTAGATGAACACAGCAGGCCAAGCAGCATCAGAGGAGCAGGAAGGCTGACGTTTCGGGCCTAA